TTCATTGTGTTTGTTTTCATTTTAATAGAGCCTCAAGAAAATCCAAATTCACAAAATACAATTTTCTGGATAAATTTGAAAGGGAAAAAAAAAATTTAGAACTCTATTGGCTTTCAATGCAATGTATAATTCTATAAAAATTCAAACTTTCACACAAAACAAAACAGTAGTTCAAAAGAGCTCCAAAAACCACTATATGTTTCATTCCAAAACCCTAAGTATAAAAAAACAGTAACCAAATAAAGAAACCAATAACTTCACAATATAATAAAAGAGGAAATATCAGCTAAGTTCCATAACAAACCAACTATTACATGAAATAAATTCTTCAAAGATTTTGCAAAATTAAAGTAAACATAAATTAATAGAAAACTTCAACAATAACTGGGAGTCGAGAGTCTCATAAAACCCTACATATAGAACTAGAGATAAAGCCAGTAAACATATGAATGTGGCTGCATTGCTCTCCTGCGTTAGGTGGACCACCTCATCGCATAATCGACCCGACTAGTTGGGCAACAAAATTCACGTAAAAATCATAACAAGTTACACGCACACAAAAAAATCAAGTTAAAACCAGCTATTAAATCAATAATATACACACATAAACAATAGATACTTAGAGAATCATAGAAAAGTTGAAGAGAAAATGTATATGCATGACAAAATAGATGACCTCTATATATTTGTATATGATGAGAGTTAAGAAATCTAATTAAATATAAAAATCTAATTAAAAGTGAAAATCTTTCTGTAATATTGTTTTAGTTTCCTATTTTTTGGCTTTGTAATTATTTTAAATTTTGTTTTTCGTTATTTCTCTTTCATACATATACATTTTGCTCTCTTCATCATCTCTCATGTATTCCTTTCTCCTAAACTATCTCTCACCACTATCTTTCCTCAACTATCTCTCGTAAAGTAAGTTGTTTAAACCATATCTCTCTCATTTACCTTCCTAATTTTTGGCTTTTCAATTTATTTTAAAATTTATTTTTCTCAATTCTCTCTCTCTCTCTCTCTCTCTCTCATGTATTCCTATCTCCTAAAATCTTTCATGTTTATCAATCAATATTTTTACTATCTCACTAACTTAGTTTTGCCTTCCCATTATGAGTGCATGTTAATTTTAGTAATTAAAACTCTCCATCTCTCCCATCCACATGTGTTTCTTTCCCAATTACTCCCTCTTGTTTCTTTCCATATCTCTACAAATTTCTTTGCATCTGTCTCTCGCCTTCTCCCTCACCAATTAATTTTAGAACTTTCCCTCTCTCTCTTTTCTCGGTATTCTGTCTCTTTCTCCACGTATCCATATTCTCTCCCTTCTCATCTCTCCTAGAATCTCTCAATCTCAAAAAATAAAATTTTTTATTTTTAAGAGTTTCCTCTCTCTCTCTTTACTTTTTTTAGGAGTGTATCTATACACATTCTACTTTATTGAATCTTTCTTGATCATGACTTAATTGTTTAAAAAGAAACCAAGATATTTTAGATAATAATAAACTTTATACAAAATATAAAAATACAAAAATATGATATATACATATAAGGATCAATTGCATGCACATCTCTCTCTATCTCTCTATCAAATTTAGTTCTTCTAAAATAAGTAAGTACTCTATCTCTCTTTCCCTAAAAATGACAATGTGTCTCATAATCATGGGAATGTTTCTCACAATCTCCAGAATTAAGGCTCGTTCGCATTTTTAAAACATGTGTCCACCCCTTAACTATGGCTTAATAATGTAGTATAGATATTTGTCGTTTAGAGATCGTATACCATGAGACTATTTAGCTTTTATACAAGGTGGTCACAATTATAAACAACATTCCAATATGAAATCTGATAGCTTGAGTGTATCTCAAAGTTCGAGAATATTTTCTTTGCAGATTGAGCTTGGTCAATTGAATAAATACAGCCATCTAATTTCACATCCAAAGGTCAATATTAATTATGACCACCTTGTACCAAAGGTAAATGGTCTCATTGTATACTTTTCTATTTTTTTAGACATCAGATTAAGTTAAAATTTGGTATGTGGATATTTGTCACTATCATACAACTCTACTTATGTATCCTAAAATACTTTGCTTTTAGAAAAGGAACAAGTCTGTATAAGGTTGCAACCTTAAAAATATAAAATTAAAGTGAACCTAAAAAATCCATTGTAACATGTTGTTTTGAACTTGGAAAATCCTCCAATTGATCATCTCAAAATCGAGATTTATAAATATGAAAAAGAAAAGGCTTTCGAGTCTCAAAAATATTACATCTTGCAACATATTATCTGGACTATTTATTTTCAGCATTTTCAAGTGTTTATAGATCGACTTGATTTAAACCATTTTTGGAGAAAAAATTTTTATAATTAAAGATAAACATGGATTCTTATGCCATCCTAAGAACTTTTGACACCAAAATTATGTATCATGATAAAATTTGTTGGTGCACCTTTAAGGTTACAATTATGAAAATCACACCCTTTAGAAAATGACCTTCTGGTTGGACAAATTGCCAAAAAAAAAAACACATCGTTGACCCCAAAAGAAACTGATTTTTTTTTATATGA